TAGTATAACCCAGTTTTGACTGGGTGTCAGCTGGGGTGCGACATGGATCACATGAAGACATGTAAGCTCGATCAAGAAATTCTAACGTATATTTGCGTTGAGATAGAAATAACCATGAATGTTCCTTTGTAGCTGAAATCCCTAGAAAATAGGACAAATCTCCTAGATTCTTCATGGCAAACTCGATGGAGAGTAAAGACATGATGCGGGAAATCACGGCAAACGAGGAAGCCGTAAGGATGATATCGTCAACATATAGAAGAAGAAAGGAAGTGAGAGAGTCGTTTTGGTATGAGAATAAGGAGGATTCAGATTTTCTTTGAAGAAATCCGATCCGGGTGATGAACTCGATGAACCTGTGAAACCAGGGTTGAGGGGATTGCTTCAAACTGTATAGTGATTTATATATGAGGCTAGCATAGTCGGGATGATTTGGATTATGGAATGAGTGGTAGGGAATGAGGTGGAAGGCGAGGCACCTGAAGGGGATGGCAGAGAGTCGGTAACCAGAGTTGTGTCGATTAACGGAGAGGAGTCATCCATGGGGGTGGTGATGAAATATTGAAGGATATGAGAAATGGTGATAGGAGATGGTTCGCCAAGGAAGGATTGGGAGGGAGGATGGCTAGGAGTGATAGAGAGAAAAAAGGAAGGAGGATTCGTCAAATGTGATGTAGCAAGAAATGATGATCTTGCGAGTAGCAAGATCAAGACATCGATATCTCTGGTGATCAGTAGGATAACTGAGAAACACACATAGGATGAAGCAAGGGGCAAGCTTATGGGGCGGTGTGATATATGGATAGCAAAGGCATTCAAACACACGAAGGTGGGAATCAGAAGGAGTTTTATGAAAGAGTCAGTGAACGAAGTTTCATTGTGAATAGATTTGAAATGTGGTAAGGTAAGATCCCTTTACAACTATGATACAATATTAGACTTAGAATAATTTCCCGTAATTGATATCTCATTCCATAAACATATATATATATATATATATATATATATATATATATATATATATATTATATATATATATAATATATATAATATATATATATATATATATATATATATATATATATATATATAGAGAGAGAGAGAGAGAGAGAGAGAGAGTGTGTGTGTGTAACCTAATGGCCTTACAACAAATACAATATATATGGGCTATCAATACGGTGGGCTAAATACATAATGTAATACTCCTTCTGTTCCAAAATTATTGTCTACATTTGATTTTTGAAATCTTTGTATGTCAATTTAGACCATAAATAAATGTATTTGTGTTATATAATTTTTGATGAAACTTATAACAATGAAAGTACATTTAAAAAAATGATATATTCATATATCTTGCTTAAAAAATTATATAACAAAAAGTAAATTATTTGAGGTCGAAGTTGAACAAAAAAAAAAAATCAAACGTGAACAATAATTTTGAGACGGAAGTAGTATACACTAATACTAATTTGTAAAATAGTTACCCAATGTACAATTTCAAGTAAAAGAGCATGGATTAGTTGTGCTCTATAGGGTGTTTGGGCATCCTTTATACTAGTTTGTTACAAATTTAGGTATATAGTGTTCTAGTTTTATAAAATTAGCCATTTGGGTGTTTTTGGGCATCCTTTATACTAGTTTGTTACAAATTTAGGTATATAGTGTTCTAGTTTTATAAAATTAGCCATTTGGTAATAGGCAGTTAATTTTGTTAATGTTAGGCTTAATTTTTTTAGAGTGTAACCTAATGGCCTTACAACAAATACAATATATATGGGCTATCAATACGGTGGGCTAAATACATAATGTAATATTCCTTCCATTCCAAAATTATTGTCTACATTTGACTTTAAAAGATTTAGAGTGTAACCTAATAGCCTTATAACAAATACAATATATATGGGCTATCAATACGGTGGGCTAAATACATAATGTAATACTCATTCCCTTCCAAAATTATTGTCTACATTTGACTTTTGGAATCTTTGTATGTCAATTTAGACCATAAATAAATGTATTTGTGTTATATAATTTTTGATGAAACTTATAACAATGAAAGTATATTTAAAAAACGATATATTCATATATCTTCCTTAAAAAATTATATAACAAAAAGTAAATTATTTGAGGTCGAAGTTGAACAAAAAAAATCAAACGTGAACAATAATTTTGAGACGAAAGTAGTATACACTAATACTAATTTGTAAAATAGTTACCCAATGTACAATTTCAAGTAAAAGAGCATGGATTAGTTGTGCTCTTTAGTGTGTTTGGGCATCCTTTATACTAGTTTGTTACAAATTTAGGTATATAGTGTTCTAGTTTTATAAAATTAGCCATTTGGTAATTAGGCAGTTAATTTTGTTAATGTTAGGCTTAATTTTTGTAGTTTGTTCTAAATTAGGTATAAATTTGACATGATCATACGTGTAACGCTTTATAATAAACGACTACTCCTAAATGTGATTTGCTTTTTATTTCTGTTTAACATTTTTATAAAGTGGAATTGTTTCTTTTCATAAAAAATGTAATAGAAATTTAAAAGTTAACTGATTTCTAAAATTATATTAACGCCTTTTTTTATAAAGATAAAATACAAACAAAATTAGTATCAATGTTGTTTAAAGAAATTCAACGGATGCACAAATAATTTAAAAGAAATTCTTTACCACAAAATTAAATTATGCAAATTTTAGATTACGGTCTAGAAAAGTAGAATAAAAGTGCTATTTATTTTTTCAAAGATAAAATATATCTACTCTGTAAACTAGATATACAGACTTTTTTTAATAGAAGAGATTGATTTAATATATGCAATCTATTAGAAGAATGTTGTTTTTTTTTTTTTAACACTTATAGTTAAATTAAAATGTGTTTTAAACTTAAATAGTTTTTCAATAACAGCTATAGTTTTACAATACTAAAAGGTTTCATCAAATTAAATTTCGTTCAATTTCAATTCATTTAAAAGATTTTGCAATGGAATTATATGAATCTTTTGTCTTTGGTCAATATTTTTTATAGTAAAATTATTTTTATACTTAACACTTTAATGACTATTATATATAGTTATTAAATCTACATCAATTTTTTTGTATTATCGTATAACAACAATTTCATTTTTTATAACCACTTTTCACTTTATTTCTTTATTGTGATATTATATTATGATTAATTTGTCTACCTAAATTATTAATGACAATAGGATAATCATGTTATTTTTTAATCAGTGTTTTAATATAAAAAAATGAAAGTAAATCGGTATGAATTATCATACGTATTTGATATGTATTGTGTTTCGTGGCACTTAAAATGAGTAACTATTACAAAAGAGGCATTGAACAAAGAACAGTATTGTCTAAAGCGGTTACAAAAAAAGTAGGGGTGTGTATGGGGCGGTTTGGTTCGGTTATTGGTCAAAACCGAACCATAACCATTATGATTGATTAATGTATTTTGGTAGCCATTGGGTATGGTTAATATTGGTTATGGTTAATGGTTTTTATCGGTTAACGGTTTTGGTTAATGGTTAATATTGGTTAACCATAATGTTCAAAATAATATAAATAGTGAAAGTATATTGGTATAAAAAATGAAAAGATAATACAAAAAGTCTTCGGCACTAATGTTTGTAACCTAGCTTATGGTAATAGAATGAAATGTGTACCTTTGATACTCAGAGTGAGATAACCCATAATCACATTCAAAAGAAAAAACATTCAATAAAAAGTATAAAAAATTAAAAAAATTGACATTAATAACTTCATATATTGATAATTGATATTAACATTAAAATAAAGTCAAACATTCATACATGTTAAATGCAATTAAATCAAAAACTATAAAATAAAATAGCTAAACATTTATATTACGTGTTATCTGGATAAAAAATAAAACAATCACTCATATATATTCAATGTGATTAAGTCAAAAATAGAAAATAAAAAAAACAATTTTTTTTTAGAAAAAATACATTTTTAATATATCATAAAGTGAAGAAGAACTAAAAACATAACTTACCTAGAAGTTTTGATTATAAATAAAAAAAAAAAAACCTTCAAATAGAACTATAAAGTCAAAACAATCTTTGATTAGGATTAACGGTGTGAGAAACCTACGATTAGGATTATGAGTGTGAATATTAAACTAATTGTGAATAATGTTTACAAATTATAGAATTAACCGATTAGGAATTACAACATTAATCAATAATCTAACTCAATGCATGATTGGAAAATTGTATGTGTCTGCATGATCTACGTGATCATCCTTTGATAGTTTGATTATACGTTCCTCTCCTGATAAGTGAGGATTACTGAATTATATTTTGGAAATTTAATGGGTCTTAAATAAGTTTGACTATATTATTTTATATATAATACATACTTTTTATGCATTAAAATATAAAGTTAGCGGTTCGGTTAACCTATAAAACCAAAACCGAACCGTTTGTTATCGGTTAGCAAAAATTAGAAACCGAACCAACGGTTTTTAAAATGGTTCGGTTAATATGGTTCGGTTATATCGGTTAATTTGGTTATGGTTTGGTTTTTTGGTTATTATGCTCACCCCTAAAAAAAAGAGGCATTGTAAAAAAAAATATTAATGTCCAAAGAGGTTATAAAAAATAGGCATTCGAAAAAAAAAATATTAATACAATGGTGGTTTTTAGGTTAGAAGATATCTGAAAAAATTAAAAGACTCTAATCCATATATGCGCCAAGAAAAGACGTGCAAACCTTTATTTGTATATCGTTTTCTAAAAAACAAAGAGTCGATGAAAGCTAATGCTTGCGTATAATCAGCACCGCACAACCAAAAGAAACAAACTAAAAACAAACACCACTTATAAGAAATGAATCAAATATGCATCCATCTTTAAAAAGAGTTAAAGACCACCAAATTAATAGGGTCTCATGACTAAATTAAGAAGTAGAACACCCTCCTATTCTCTAGAACCATAACCACGTGCCTCTCTACTATATGTCGTCGATTGAAGTCTCCTCCTAAAAACATTCATTGGTTCGTAATACGTCCTACAGAATCATAAAATTACTCTTACAAACTCCTCTCTCTCTCTCTCTCTCTCTCTCTCTCTCTCTCTCTCTCTCTCTCTCTCTCTCTCTCTCTCTCTCTCTCTCTCTCTCTCTCTCTCTCTCTCTCTTTTTCCTTATCCACGACGACTTGAGGAGCATACATAAGCAACATTCAGCACCTCAAGCTTAACTACTATATTGATCATTATGAATTTATGATCATATCTAGACCCTATTCTAACTTCTAGTATGTTTTCCTTGAGCTTTTGGCAACAACCAAACTCATGCATTTCAAACCTTCTCTAGATATGCATGCCACAATTTATGCTAATTACACTCTCTAGCGTGCCCTCTTTTTCCACTTGGTAGAAATTAGAGATAGGATCATGCATAGCGATCAAAGTAGTAGTTAAGGGTTGGTGAACATTATGTCTGTCGTATTCGTAGTTTTATAACATTATTAAATAATGTTGAATTTATAATTCTATTAAATAAGGATTTGACTTCTCTTAAATAAAAAATTTATACATATAGGAAGATATTGATTAGCTTGAAGGAGTATATAATTAAAGAATCCCACGTTTCACGCACCTATTTCTATTTAAACCTCTCACTTATGTCTCCGTCTCCTATATATTTTCTAATTAAATATATAATTTCCACTTCTTTAAACCAGGGGCATGATGATTACCACCTAAGTTCTTCAAAACTTCCATGGCAGAATTAACGGTGGGTGATGGTGCTGTGGACGGTGGTTCTGCATCTCCCACCACCACAAACAGGAAACAGTCATACATCACCGGCATGCTTGTCAAAAACCCCGGCGTACCCATATTCCTTTCGGTGTTTTTAGTCACGCTTTTCATCACTGCAGCTGTATTCACTCGTTGGGTTGATGTTGTAAGTATTATATTTATCCTATTTATATATATATATATATATATATATATATATATATATATATATATATATATATATATATATATATATATATATATATATATATATATAAATAAATGAGCTTAGAGAATATGTGACTGTCATTTACCTAATATTAGGCATAGAACCATAAAAAAAACTATATATTTTTAACAAAATATCATCGAATCTCTCTACCATCTTTCTTGTATCCTCTATTAGAACTTATGCTAAGTGTTATATATATATATATATATATATATATATATATATATATATATATATATATATATATATATATATATATATATATTCATATATATATACATTCATATATATATATATATATATATATATATATATATATAATATATATATATATATATATATATATATTTATTTATGGAATTTTATAAGTTTGATTTTGCACCACAAACCATATATAAAAATATTTTACCAACTATTTGTAGGTCTTCTAATTGAAATTTAATATAGAAAATACGTTATAAGATTGAAATTATTCATTAAAAAAACTCAATAAACCCCTTTCCATAAGACATCATAGAAAACCCATACAAGTATACATAAGATAGGTATTGAAAGAAGTTATAAACCTATTAAAGGTTTAATAAAAAATACATTTGAAATAGATAGATATTAAAGATAAATCACGAAATAAAATATAATATAAGTTTAAAGGCAATAGAAAGCTAAAAATTAAAGAAAAATGTGTTTTTGAATCAAAATAAAGTCGATTTTGATGGTTCTATACCTAACATTACATACATAGCAGCCACATATTCAGTTTTCCATATATATATATATACACACACGCGCGCGCGCGCGCACGCACAAGGATAATACTTGTATATGTTTATTAAGTTTTCCAGTTTGGCTACTAAACTTGTACAAAAATATTAAACTTTTTAAAAATCTGTTATAAACGCATTTAATTTTCGATTCTTTTGGTTAAAACTGTGTTATTAAATTGAAATCGCACAAATTAATTGATTTTAAAAACAATAAAATATATAATTGTTGTGTTGGTTTTAAATTCATACTTGGTAGTGATTTAAGAGAAATTAAGTATATTCTTACATTTTAGTTATATTATCCTCTTAGTCATATTAAATGATGACAAATGGACTAAAATATTATCAATTTTATTAAATATGTTATTAATTGTGACATATGTCAAACATTTGATTGGGTAGGAAGATAAGTAAAGGATATTTAATTTCTACTAATTCAATTTTTTTTTGTCGTGCTTCAGCATTTAAATTCATATTCGATAGTTTACACTTTACATATCAGATAACCGGTAGATCAAAAGTAATTAATGATCAACTAAAATAAACATAAAAACGTAAATCTGTTACTTTAAAAGTTCGTCACCTTAAATAATTTCTTTTGAAACTTCACTTTTTCCAGGACAAAAAAATTACTTATTTTAAATAATAAAATAACAAAAGTTGACTACTAGGTACTTTTTCATATGCAATATACTAACCATGTGTAAATAGGGACTACATAAAAGCAATATTAACACCCACAAACCTCGAATTAGGAGTAACCCCTTAATCAAAAGAATGGAATGAGAACTTTAATTGCTTTGTACAAGCTACATGTCAACTATGTCTCCGAACAGAGAAAAAACCAAAATCAAAACAAAACGAAATCTTAGTAAAGTTCATATACTTTGGGGGAGGAAACTACAAAACATTTTTTCAACCAAAGCATACACACACAATATATATATATATATATATATATATATATATATATATATATATATATATATATTATATATATATATATATATATATATATATATATATATATTTCCTTTTATTTATTTTTTATTTCTTTAATCTTTAAGATGAGTGATTAGGATCACATCTCTATATCTCAAAAAATTAGCCTGGTCTTATATATATATATATATATATATATATATATATATATATATATATATATATATATATATATATATATATATATATATATATATATATATATCACATAGCTTTTTGCAAAAACACTCTAAAAAACGGAGGTGTATAACTTGTGCATATCTATATATCATATATGCATAAAATATTCATTTTTTTGAAAGTAATAATATTGAAACTCTTAGATGTTGCTATGGAGGGATTTTTTTGGCATATGTACATATGTATATGCACTGTTTTTTGTGTTATTTATTTTGCCATTCACAAAGGATAGATGATATGTGCATAATACACATGTGAAATTTGGTTTAAAAAATTCCATGAGAAAAATAAAATTAGTTATTTTTTAAATCCATATATTCTTGAAACCATTTTATTTTGGGAACTATTTTGTATGGTATTTTTTAAACATGAAAACATTTAATATGTGAAGCTATTATATAAAGATTCACTATATAAAAAAAAAAAAAAAAATTAACTGACTTTTGTGATGTGGACGTAAGGCCATTTGTGTTTGTGCACACATGAATGTATTATGACGTAAAATGTGTATACATTCGAAAAAAAAAATAGTTTTTTTTTATCGAATAATATTCTATAGTGGTATCTTAAACTAAAAAGTTATTTTTGAAAAAAAAAAAAAAAACCGACAAACAATTCTCAAAATAAGAGAATCATCGGGAATATGTACACACATGGTCAATAGATGTCGAATCTTGCATAATAAAACATTTTAAATATTTACTAACACACTCTTTATTCTCTTAAAGTCTATCATAACGGCTCAATTTCGTCAAAAAGATATTCTACCATTTGAAGACAACGAAACTACCAATAATTCAATAGTCGAATCATGTCCGGAATACTTCCGATGGATTCATGAGGATTTGAAGCCATGGAAAAACATCGGAATCAACAAAGAAATGGTGGAAAAAGCTAGAGAAAAAGCGCATTTCAGACTAATCATACTTGATGGGAGGCTTTACATGGAGAAATATGATTATGTTTTCCAAACTCGAGATGTTTTCACAATTTGGGGGATTCTACAACTCCTCAAACTCTACCCTGGAAAAATCCCCGACCTTGATTTGATGTTTATGTGCCATGATTGGCCTTTAATTCGTAAAGAAGATTATCAAGACAACAGCACAACCATACCACCATTATTTCACTATTGTGGTGATGATTTGACTTATGATATTGTTTTCCCTGATTGGTCCTTCTGGGGATGGTAATGCTTATATTTTAATCGTTTTAGTGTTAACTAAAAATAAAATTATAATTCTATAAAAATAAAAAACCACTATGCTTGAAATATATAGTAGTTTTGGGCAAAATTATGAATTATATTGGCTTTCAAAAATGTACCCAAATTTGCTCATAATGTTTTCCGTTAAAATTCTAGAAACAAGCGTAGATTTGTAAACAAATAATAATAATAATAATAATAATAATAATAATAATCACAAAAATGGCCATCCAAATTTGGGAATAAGAGTAAATAACTCAACTTTTGGAATATATCAAAATGAGCACCATGTCCGAAACACTTTCATACTAATTTTATATCACATCAAAAAATATATTTTCATAAACAAAGAAATATTTTGGATTTGTGACTAAACATTGCAAAATAGAAACAACGTATCTAGAGATTTCAGAAACATGTTCAAAATTCAATAAAATTATCCGAAATGTCATGAAAATGATTTGTTTTTTTTTTTTTTTTTTACCAAATCCTTCAAACAATATAGGAAACATGAAGTAGATTACGATAAGTTGGCATAAAATATGTATTGGTTGTTTTATAAGTTAGTTAAAGGGGGTTAGATTTTTCAGGCCAGAAGTTAATGTAAAGCCATGGGTGAACTTGAGCAAGGAATTGGAACACGGGAATCAGAAGATAAAATGGAAGGACAGGGAACCCTATGCTTATTGGAAAGGGAATACGTACACCGGAAAGGCCAGGAAGGATCTTGCAAAGTGCAATTCTGATGGCACACGCAAATGGAATGCCAGAATTCACCATTTGGTAAGTAATTTCAAGTAGAGATGGTAAAAATACCCGTACCCGATGGCTACCCAAAACCCTAACCCGAGTTGACCGGGGACGGGTACGAGGATTGGTATAACCCGAATGCAAAAAGCAGGGATGGATATGGAGATGGTTCTACCTGTTGGGTACCCATACTCATACCCGAAACCGGCCCCGATGGTACCTGATATATATATATATATATATATATATATATATATATATATATATATATATATATATATATATATATATATATATATATATATATAATATATATATATATAAAACAAATCTAATTATTTCTAAAAATAGATTGAATAAAATAATAATATTTTTTTAAGACGTCCAAATCATTAACCTAATTGTACAACTAATCACTAATAAAATAATATTAAAATTTAAACAAACTCCATAAATCTTCTTTTCCAAGATTTTGATCAGATCTTTTTTCATCCAAATAAATACTCAACACTTTATAATTTGGTCATTTCATGAATTTTCTTTATTTTTAATATGATATGTTTCCTAAAACAAACTAATGATTGAATTGAAAATAATCATTCTCCATCGAAAAGAAATTAATTGTTGAAACAAACTATTTGTCGTCCGCCGCTTTGCGTGCGTCAACGGCTAGTGTATATATATATATATAATATATATATATATATATATATATATATATATATATATATATATATATATATATATATATATAGTATTATTTATGCTTTTATTTTTAATAATGGATAAGCAAAAGTTTAGCAGACAAAGTAAGGTTTTTTAACAATCAAACGTATAATTTTGGGGAGACTTTTTATGACTTTTTTTCTTTTTTGCAAAAAAATGGTTTAATTTGTAAGCTTGAATGTTATTGTTCGTTTTTGAAGACATTCATTGATTATAGTGCTCTATATGAATTCTATTAGTTTTTTGTTTTGTTGGTTAATATATAATTATGATTTATTTTTCATAAAAGTTCAAAACTTTATAGCGGGTAAAAATCCCCAATTACCCATTGGGGATCTCCGATCCCCATTGGAGATGGGGATGTGGATATATTTTTAATTCCCGATGGGGATGGGGTCGGGTATAGGTATGGGGATGAGGATTCGGGTATGAGGATGGGGAACACGAAATCCGGTATACTCGTACTCATTGTCATCCCTAATTTCAAGAGTCTTAAATTTGAATACCTTTTATTTTGTAAGTTATATATATATATATATATATATATATATATAATATATATATATATATATATATATATATGTATATTGAGTCCTTAGAGCAGTGAGTATGGACCATGTTATATGTCATTATGGTTTATGTGGCAAGCTATAACAACGTCATAACACTATGAATACCACCCCTTCTTTGTGTTATGTTGCATCTTGTGGCCTTTATGACATCTTGCAATGTGAAAACGAACCAATCAAATTTCATTTTCTTCTTATCTCACTTTCTCTCTCTCTCTCTCTCTCTATATATATATATATATATATATATATATATATATATATATATATATATCTATATATATATATATATATATATATATATATATATATATATATATATATATCTTTTAACATGTTACAACATATGAACACAATTTACCCCTTGATGTAATGGTGATGTTATGGATGAGGTGACACCAATTTGGTGTTACATCTATTTACCCACACACAATGCTCTTAGTATTTGCTCTAAAACGCACGTATTTATTACGAGATTATAGACCCATACACACACACACACACACACACATATATATATATATATATATATATATATATATATATATATATATATATATATATATATATATATATATATATATAGTTGGATCGGGTGAGAACTCAAAAATAAGTGAGAGCTACGAGGACAAATCATTATATATATATATATATATATGTATATATATATATATATATATATATATATATATATATATATATATATATTCAGGATTTTTTGCGAACTCATATTTTCCCACGAACCACTTTTAAAATACGACTTTATTTGTGTGATATTTTTTTTAAAAAAAAGTGACATAAAGCACTAAATTGGTCATAAATAAACATATTCGCAAAAAAAATCTCGAAAAAATGTGTATACGATAGGTGCATATGTGCACAAGCGTCGGAAAATTCACAAGTTCGTAAAAAATGCACATATACACCTGTTGTATATGCATATTTTTGTCGAGATTTTTATTGAAAATATGTTTATATAGGCCAAATTTGGTGCTTTATGTCATTTTTTTTTTGAAAAAAAATCACACAAAAAAATTTGTATATTAAGAGTGGTTTTCTGGAAAATATGAGTTTACAAAAAATAATATATATATATATATATATATATATATATAATATATATATATATATATATATATATATATATATATATATATATATATATATATAAATCCAGGTTGGGTGTTTTGCTAATTTAACAACCCAATGACTAAATCCAAAACAAAATGAAAAGTATAGGAATTAAAAAGATAAACAAATATGCAAAACTGTATCATAGGACCAAACTTGTAATTTACTCCATATCTACCTTTTTTGAGAAGAAGAGTTTGGAAATTTATTTTGTATTGATGCAATTTTTGCAGGATTGGAGAAAAGGATTTAAGGAGACCGATCTAGCAAACCAATGTACATATAGGTAACTCACAAATGAATAACCATTACCACATTTATTTTTTGTACAAACTTAAAATCTAGTTAGTAAATTCTTCCCCCCTCCCCAATTCTTATTTTTGTTCATTAGGTACAAAATATATGTAGAAGGAAATGCATGGTCGGTTAGCGAGAAATACATTTTGGCATGTGACTCGATGAGTCTTGTCATAACTCCACATTACTATGATTTTTTCACAAGAGGTTTAACACCAACCATTCACTATTGGCCTATAGACGAACACAAAAAATGCAGTTCGATTAAGTTTGCAGTTGACTGGGGAAACAAAAATATAGAAAAGGTAACCATTCTCACAATTTTTTTACTAAAATACAAACTATTAGCGGTTATCATAAAACTTTCTCTAAGGATACATTTTCCAATAGCTTAAGATATGTTCAAAATAATCCTACACATATCGAATTCAAATCTCGCATGATCACATGTGTATTGAACCGAAAAAAGGGGGAGGGGGAGAGGGGGGGGGGGGTTAGTTTAAGCCAAAAAATATCTATAACAAACTAAACATGTTAGAATAAGAATGTTATAAGCCGAAAAGACAAACGGTCAAAATACCCTAAAGATCACAATTTTATACTCTAAGATTTTATATCATTTTAAATCTTCACAATATGAAATCATGTCGCTATATGGCTATCATAGTTGTAAAGAGGTATGAGTTTACAAATGATGTCTCACGTTCAAGTCCGATTAGCTGAAATCTCTCATATTAACAACATCTAGCAATGAAATATTAGGATAACTCAGTACTTAAACAATTTTAATCTTACATGCATTTCAATATGTGTTGATTTTCATAATTTTTTTCAACTCACATAAAGGGAAGAGAAGAAAAATATTTAATTATACAAAAGAATTTTGTTTTTACAGGCACAAGAAATAGGAAGAAGAGGGAGTGAATTCGTTAAAAATGAGCTACAAATGAAGTTTGTATACGATTACATGCTCCATCTTTTAACAGAATACTCGAAGCTTTTGAAATACAAACCATTTATCACGAAAAATGCAGTTGAAGTTTGTTCATGTTTTGGAAAAGGGCTAGTGAAGGAATTTAAGAAGATATCTATGGTAATCGGTCCAACAAAGGCGAGTCCTTGCACCATGCAGCCTCCGTATGAGGATTTTGAACTTGAATCTTTACTCTTTATGAAATTAAACTTAACAAGGCAAGTCGGAATTTGGGAAGCAAGCAAGCGTATTTAGCGTACACAATTTTTTTTATAGGATTTGTTTTAGAATTTTGACCAAGAGGCGAAAAATCGGTGCAATTTACTGTTTCCTATTAGTATACGAGGTGTTGATGTAATTGTATTATGGTATATATGTATACACCAAAGGAGATGATAAATGTTTTATGTGACATGCTCCAAGCACATATGTTGAAGACAAGAGTTTCATACCTATTTACGGGGGCGGCTCAAGGAATTTAAAGGCTTTAAGCAAGCCTTTCAAGTAAGCAAACAGTTTAGAACTTGAGACCTTTAGTTTTATAAACCAGTTCTTTTATCACCAAGTTAAGTTTCACAATAAGCTTTAAATTTTGGGGCCCTTTAGAATTGGGCCCTAAGCCCTTGCTTAGTTTTTCAAAAGGTAGAGCCGGCCCTGCCTATTTATAGTTGATCTAATCAACATCTACCAAAAGTTGTTATCATATGTAATTAATCACCATCACAAAAAGCTCATTTAAGGGGTTGTTTAACAACCTTTAAATGATTTAGAGGCTTGAAATGAATCTTTTTCTTAGTGTAAACATGCAGTTTGGTTAGATCATCCATGAATTGTGTGCATGGTTGTGCCAGTGGGTAGGACACCTTACATGATGACCCATGGCCATCAAATTTTTAGGACCCCATTTTTATATGTCTTCTTATATTAATTAACTTTGACAACTACATCTTAGTTATAAAGCTTTGAATCTAAAAAACATAATAATATAGGTTGTGAGTGGGTGAATAAATATAGAGATTTTCAAGTTTAGAAAAATATTTGTTTGAGAGGAAATTCTCCCATATTCTTATTCAAATAAAAAGAAATGGATGAGAAGTCTATACAAATAGAATGTGGGAGTTAGATACAATCCATTTGAATAAAACTAGTCAATTAAATTTACTGACATGTTTTTAAATTGAATAAGTTTTGTTTTTGTTTTTGTTGTTGAAAATACAAAACAAGTTGAAGCTAAAAAACAAGGTAGTTCAAAAAATTATAATTAGTAAGCTAATTCTTGATTTTCTAGGCTTGCTAGACAAAAAAGTCGAGTTCGAGCCTTGAGTCAAGCTTTGGTTTTCTCAAAACCACCAGACCTCTAGATTTCTCACCTCACACTAACCATCTCTCTTCACTAGCACTTCTTTATGTTGCTGATTCCTCACACAACGATAGTATTGAACACCAATATGATAGACGCCTTGACAGGAGAAATGACCAACAAAGAGATCGGAGAAATGATCAAAAGCAGCAGGTCACTGACGAACATCATCAATTACAAATCATCGCTTCATTAGCAGCACACTTCCTCAGACTTACGAATGGGTGTTTATCCCCCCACTAGCCTAACATAAGCCGTGATGGGCTCCTGGATTCAAAAGTATTCCACAATGGAAAGATCCATAACAACAAAGAAAACCCAATGGTATTCTAGGCCGCCCTCCCTCACAGCAAAATCACTTGACTCGGTGTAGCAGCAGGCCTCCCTTCTTATGATAGACAATCTTTAAATGACCCAATCCCACCATGGAATTGATTTAGTTTAGATCAGCCTAGATCCCTTCCTCAACTATTCAATATCATGTTCCTTTAAGACCTACAATCTGGAGAATGGGTGATGGACACCGGGGCTACAGATTATGTGCATGTAAACTCATGTATCCTCAACTCCATTTTGGATAGAGATAACTCTCATGCTATCACAGTCGAGAATGAGTCCTCAATTCTTGTTGCGGCGACCAAAAATTCCAAATTTCTATCACAAACCCTCATCGCCTACTAAATTTAAATAATATACTTATTTCACCCTCAATCATCAAAAAACTCATTTCTATATATAAATTTACTTGTCAAAATAAATGTTCAATTGAATTTGTAGAATTTGATTTTACTATCAACGATTACAGGAATAAGCTCCCTTTAATCCAATATGATAGCAATGGTCCACTCTACCTATTGTTCCACCCCTTCCTCAAGTTCATATCTCCACGAACACCTCTATTTGGCACCAATGTCTCGGTCATCCCAATGATAAAGTTTTAGGCTCTTTAATTTCCAGCCATTCCATTTCCCGTAATAAAAATCAATTGCATGAGTTATGTCATGCTTGTAATTCCCTTTTAGTACTTCTAATTCCATTTTTTAACAAGCTTTTTGATAAGTTTTATACATAGAAAACAATTCTATGTGTGCATGCAACCTTAATTGTTGGATCTATGTTTTCTCTATTAGACATACAAGCATTGAACACAAGAACTAGAAACCATATGAGGCATGTACAATTTTCAAAATTAACATAAAACTAGGGTTTAGATACATACCTTTATTGTTATGTAGTAATAAAAATAGAATCCTTTGAAGATCTTGACTTTAAGAACAAGTGTCACAAATGTAACACCTCTAATGGCTCACAAACACACCAAAGACAGATGATGAATATGAGAGAGGGGATAGAGGAAGGAGTTGCTCAAAATTTTGGCTCTTCTAGGGTTTCTAAGGAGTTCCAAAATCTAAAGCGGTAATGCTCCTTTTATAGTCAAGGTTGCTTAGTCCCAAAGCTATGGTTAAGATAAGGAAACCCTAATCACTTTGCCTAAGGCCTAAACAACCCATGGATTACTGTAACACCGTAAACTTTCAAACAATTTTTTTTTTTCATTTTGAAATCGCATAAATCTCATCAACACATTTAACAAGAATCCCCAAAATGTCAAATTATCAAAAACATATATTCATAATTGTTTGAATAAAATCCAGGATCCTAAAAAACACAACTCCATCTCGTGTATACAATCAAGTCGGCGCCTTCCCGTGATCCTGAGAAATACCTGAAACACATAACACATAACACGGTAAGAACGAAGCTTAGTGAGTTCCCCAAAATACCACACAAATCTCATTAGCCTCTCATGGCTATATCTCGAATCAGAGAACCCCCCCCCCCCCCCCCAGTTAATGTGTCTCAATGGAACCCTCCAGTCCCACAACTCGGGCGGACCCTTCGGTCCTAACTCAGTAAAGCTCAGAATAACACATCATAAATCACAAAGACATAATGCACGATATCACAATACTCAATAAAACAAACAACACCCTACGGTCACATAAAATTACCACTCAAGATAAGTATAGTGAAAAGACTCTCGTCCTAAGTATGCAAAGAAATTGTGTACCCCCGAACGGTCTAATCCCTGCCTACATGTCATAAGCATCTCTAATTAATACTTAAATCACAAATCTAATTAACCAAGATATTTTCTCTCTCTAACTCATGGGACAGGTTAACAACCATTTTACCCCTCCATGGTCTCCATAATCCCTGTCTTGAACAAACCCTAAAGTCAACAGAAGTTAACACTCGAGTCAACAATCCATGTTGACCCAAATCGTCGAGTACATCTATGTGACTTGTTTTGTTCCCTCGTTCCTTCAGTAATGTTGCGAAAATCCAACTTAACTCGTCGAGCTGTCTCATCAACTCACCGAGTTACTCATGTTCAGACTCGTCGGGGAAAACCCTAGCCGACTTGTCGAGTCAGCTCACCGACTCGTCGAGTCCCTTCAATCTATTTTCTCATTCAAACATTTTAAGGCAGAGTTACGACACCCAAACTCTAGATGTAGCCTCCCAAGGCTGAGATACCACATAAAGCAGCAAGCTTTATGTCCATGCATGACACTTAGGGCTTGAAATGCCAAAAACAAGTTCCATTTAGGGTCCTAAGCATAAAAGCTCTCCTGTAGCTTGATAAGCTTGGAATTTTGGGCTTAAGGGACTTCATAAGGTTCAGATCTAAAGTCTCAATCTCTTGGCAAGCTCAAAATTCTCAATGTCTTGAGGAAAGATGGAAAAATCCCCAAAACTTCCTAAAAAACAAGATCTAATCAAAATAATGAGCAAGGTGGTGACTTTTACCTTCAAACAGAAGCTAAGGATGGATAAACACTAGATCGAATGGTCTCTTCTTGTTCCTAGCCTTGATACTCTTCTCTTCTCTTCCAATAATGTACTAGAATGCCCAAAGTTAGCTCTTTTTTCTCTCTTAAATCAATCTAAACGGTTAGGGTTTCAAACAGGGGAGTAAGGTGACATGGGAGGCGGAAATGAGGGCTTAAGGTCCTTTAAATAGGACGCAACCCCAGAAAATTAGGGTTTCCTCTCACAGCGCCAACTTGTCGAGTTGGTCCCTCCAACTCGTCGAGTTGGTCATAAAACTCACGCGGCCAAATACTTCTCTACTCAACGAGTTGGGGCCTCCAACTTGTCGAGTTTCTCAATCAAAATCATGAAAATGATATAATATTATACATAGGAGTCGGGATGTTACAATTCTACCCCACTAGAATTAGACTTGTCCCTCGAATTCATGCACCGGAAACAACTCTGGGCACTGCTCACGCATCTCGGACTTCGGCTCCCAAGTCCACTCGGATTCCTTCAGATGTTGCCACTGGACCTGAACCAGGGGAACCTATTTATTACTCAAGACCTTCAATTTCCTATCCAAGATCGCTATCGGTCTCTCAATATAGTTCAGGCTTGCATCAACCTGAATGTCCTATAAAGGTACCACTGCCATCTCATCGGTTACACACTTCCTCAACTGAAACACGTGGAAGGTGTTATGAATCTGGCTCAACTCTGTAGGCAGCTCCAACCAGTAAGCTACCTTACCCACTCGGGCGATCACTCTGAAATGAACAATGTATCTAGGGTCCAACTTGCCTGTTTCCTGAATCGGATCACCCCACTGATGAACTCGACAAGTCCAATATCCGACTCAACGAGTTCAACAGTTTGTTGGCAGATTTTCGGGGTTTTTGGCAGCAATTGGATTTGGATCATTACCTTAAACTGTTTTGTGTCATAATTTTTTCTGATATGGCATTGATTATCCCATCCAATTAAAAGATGAATTGTCAAATATTGAAATTATTACTAGTTTATATGATATGCTAATTGTTTGTAATATTTGATTCGAAGTTATCTTGCCATAAGAGTTGCATTATGTCAAATTTGTATAAGATAAAATTATGATTATTTTATTGGTTTTAAAATTTGATGTAAATATTTTTAGGAGTTACAAAACTTTCCATCATGTTTTGGAACTCAAAAGTTTTTTATGGAGTTACAAATCTTGTCATCAAGTTTGGAACTCAAAAGGATTACAAAAGTTACAAAACTTGCCCTCAAGTAAGATTAGGGTTTTCACATAAATGATGATTAGGGTTAAGTGTTTCCTACTTAACTCGTTAAGGACTTAATCCATTAAGTCCATCAAGCTACTAGGTTAATCATATAGTGTAGCCGGGTTAAATACAAAATCCTAATCCGGTCACCCAAAATGCAGGTCCCAACAACCCACAACCCATATATCCAAAATTAGGGCTTTCTAAAGCCTAATTAGGGTTTCCAACCCAATCAAAACCTATTTAGGCCCAATAGCTAAGTCTTTTGATCAATTAGGGTTTCATTAGGCCCACTAGGGTCTCATAAGACCCATTAGGGTTTCATAAGTCGAGCACCATCCACTACCACCTTGGGTAGTGGTGGTCAACGGTGGCTCGCGGTGGCGGCCATCACCTCATGGTGGTGGTTATGGTTCTAGTCAATTTTTGTCTAAGCATCCCAAAAGCAACTAAACGCAAGAAAAAGCATATCCCCACCCAACACGACGGCTGGTGGCGGTAGGAGGCAACAACCACCACTTCACGGTGGTGGTTATGAGTTTTATTTTTATTATTCTAGCACT